TTTTTTTTGTCAAAATTCAGCAACTATGGAAGGAACTTTGCTGCCACACGCTTATTGCCCAAAATTTACGAAAAAATTGCATGGCATGAGCCAACCATCATGCCGACATCCTCAGCAATTTCCCTAATAGTGATTCAAAGAGTAATTTTTTTTACTTTATCAACATTTCCATTGGTTGTTGATATGCTAGGGAGTCCAGGGCGAGCGTCGTCATTCACATCTTGTCGACCTTATGTGAAAAGGTTGTACCACTTGTAAACATTTTTCTGACTCAGAGTACAATCACCGTATGCCACTGTCAACATTTCAAGTGTCAGAGCATTTAATTCCATTTTTTACATAAAATTTTATGCGACTTTTTTGATCAATTTCTTTTGGAAAGCAGAAAATCGCCTAACACTAAAATTTTAATGGCTCTCACCAAACAACTAAACAGGCTAAATAGCTGAAAATGTGAATATATGTTCACACAATATAAAAAAAATTAAAAATCGCTAATCGAATATAAGTAGCTCACAAAATTTGAACATTCACCTTACTTTTTCAACAGATCTCTATAACATAGACGGCACTGAAAACGAAATAGATTAAATATCTTTAGGTCATTTCTGTTAAGAAAAAAAAACCGATCTATTTTCAATTCAAGGAGGACATCATAACTTCAACTGTCATTTATAATTTCCTCCCCCGCTTTTTGGTGACTATCACCTTTAGCAAAGGTATAGTTGTACGTATGACACATCATTAAAAAGTTAATTTTATAAGGAATTCATCCATGTGATTGTAACTGTCACTTCGTTTATTCTATGGCCGTTCTCCAAGGCGTGTTTAGCGACACTAGATTTTTCTGGTTTTCAAAATAGGATATGTGCTGCGTGTTCTTTGAAACGAGTTCTAATGGTTTCCTTAGTCTGACTGATGTATTTTTTCATCACAGTCCTCATAGGTCATTTCATATATCACTGACTTTTCATTATTCAACATCTTACCTTTAGGGTTACTATACATTTGATGAAGTGAGCGAGACGTTTCTAACCGAAATCATTGAAAAATAGATGTAAATAAAGGCCACTTTCAGAGTTATGAATTAGTTTTTTTTATCTTCTGAAGACGCCAACTCGATTGGTGAAACGAGCGTTTATAAGAGTATTGAAGTTCTAGCATCTACGCCAGAGGTACCAGTTTCATCTTTCATTACCTTTTTAATTATGTGTACTTCCCTTATTAGAATTCTGAGAGTAATGGGCACGAAGCGAATATGATAGAAAGATGTCCTCTTGAACATGTAAGTCACCCTGTTAATAATGATTTTTAAGATCATTCACATTGATACTTTCTCCCTGAAGATGTCAGTAATTACTGTTGAAATATTAGAAATTAAGAATATTAACATATAACTGTATAACCAAGCCTCATTTTAAATATTGTTCAACTAAAAGAAACGGACTGGTTTAAGTTTAATTTGGAAAAACCTTCTCAGGAAGTTCATTCCACATTTATTCTCCAGATGAAAGAGTTCTTAAACTTCCGAGGTGTACTGAGTTGAACCTCAAAACGATGAGCAGCCAAAGTCCGTCACGTATTTTCTGATATGTACCGCTCTTCGTGGAATCAAAAGTGCCAAGTCCCTTGAACTCTTTCGATGAAAGTATGTATAAAAGAGAGACAAATCTCCAACCTTTCTTCTTCAGGAAATGTTTGGGGGCAGAATTCCATACATGAGAACAATGCTCCAAAGAAAATCTGATCTGAGTTTTATTAAACATCAAAAGTTGCTGAGATGTGTAGTTTTCTGATTCGGAACAGTGTTCCAAGCTTTTAAGAAGCAACATTTGCAATTCCAGGGACGTTATTGTGCCAAGACATATTGGTGTCCATTTGAACCCCCAAAAGCAGAAAGGTATGACCAGACATTATCATATCCGGTTCGGAGACATTTGTCTTCTTGGAGAAAACCGATAACTGGGTTTTTGTGGCATTGAATTGAACCTGGTTACTTTCAACCCAATTCAAAATCACTTCTAGATCCTCATTAAGATATACAACCTCCTGCTGCTGGTGAAGATATGCCTCCGTAGCCGATATCCTGGAATCCAAATGGAATGACCAGACAAGTGTGCTGTCGTCAGCAAAGCAATATATCAGATTCATGGTTTTTTCCAATAAGTTGTTGATATACAATGAAAGGAGGGTTGGAGACAATATGGATCTCTGGGTGACACCAGCTTTAATGGTGTCACCTGCAGGGAACATCCATTCAGGAAGATGAAGAGCCAAACACAAAAATGATCCGACAAGCCACAGTATCGAAGTTTGGCTAGCAAACCCTCATGCCACAAACGGTCAAAGGTCTTAGAAATATCAAGCCCGACAGCTATTGACTCTCCATGTCCTTAAATTGCGTTATTCCAAATATGGGTGACATACGATAGAAGGTCGCCTGTTGATCTTTGTTTCTGAAAGCAATATTGATGATCCCTCAAGATGTTGAAGCCTTCCAAATATTTGTGGTTTATGACTTTCTCTATGATTTTTGATATCACTGATAGCAAATATAGGGATAAGTGCCACTGATAGATATTGGCTGGTGAAATTCACTGATTCATTCATGAAGAAGTAATTATCATTGATATTTATTACTTCGAATTATGAATATTTGAAATTACAATGATAAGGATAATATGCTTATATTTCACCATGACTTCAAGTCATTGTGAAATATAAAATTTATTATTCTAGATATTCATTCATCCTAACAATAATAATTGTTTTGAGAAGTGAGAAGTACCTACAAAATCAATATTTTGAAAAATAATAACCAGTGACTTGGTGTAGTAATGGTCTGCTGTCTCATAATCCAAGATCATGAAAAAAACTCTCTTTGACAAGGTGTTTCCTTGCAATAATTTATGTAGTTGAAGACATATTGGTTCTGCTAAAATACCTGAACGAGAAAGCAAACAGCCAAGATGTTTCCTAAGTAGTTCGTGAAGTTATTACCAAAGCCCACTCGGAGTCAATGTCGGAGCACAACTAGTCAATGTCATTGACTACTATGGCAGTCAACCAAAAAATAGTAATAATGAAAATTGCATATACTTGTCAAGTGTAAAACATTTTCAGTTGGTGTGTTGGTTATATGGCTCATTTTCCTGCTTCAAATCCATTATACAGATATTCAATTCCAAACAATTATCCACAGTCAATTCACATCACAAAACTACTGTGGAGAATTTATTGTATCTAAATTTATATCTGAAACCTGCTTATGTTCGAAATACTTACTGTAGTAAATTTTGTTCCGCTAAATTTGTATCCACTGATACTCCTGGTGGAGGCTCTTTTATCAGGGACAATAATTCCTTCTGCAATCTTCTCTGTAACAATGGTGGTTATAAAATTTAAAACCAAAAAGTTTTCAATATACTTTAGGTATTAATCTAACTTTTTATGAAGCAAGAACTACATTAAAAGATAGTAATGAATGAAATAATTTCAATCTTACTTCAGATGGAGACATCGATGCCATCTTGTTACTACACCTATGTTTATGTGTCCATACTTCAGCATCAGCCTTTGCCTTTAGTCTAATATGAACTGACTTAAAACTTCAACGTATTTAATTAAGGAAAATTACCAAAAATCGATTTATTTACTGATATAAAATGTTATCAGTTCCGACTAATGTAATATAGAACTGAAGAAATTTAGAAATCACAACAAAAATAAAATAGTAGTTGTCAATGTCACTTTTTTGTCCTTATCCTTATCCCATTAGCTATTTCATTGGTCCCTTGCACACCACCATTTCTATTCTATGACACAACGACACAACCACTACTGAATCCCCTGATATGTTTGTTCGTTTGTATAAACTGATTTCAGAAATATGTTATCAAGACTATCCAAAAAAACGTGTTTCAGTAAGTTTTAGTTTTGATTTCTGATCTGACTATACAGCCATATTTTCTCGCTCTTTGTTTTTGAAAGTATATCGTCATTCTTATCACATGACTCATACTCTCTAATCTAGTGATGAATGAAACTATTTCTTTTTCATCACAGACCATATACCAAATATGGTCTGTGTATTTCATTCATTTGTGGATTTAAAAAAATTATTGTGCAATGGGTTATTTAATATTGCTATTGCTCTGCAAAGCCATATGCATGCACAAATCAAAATAGGTACAGAAATATTATTATGTTTGGCTAAGAAACTAATATCAATAGGTACTACCTTTCTCATCACTCAGTGACTTGAACTTATTTTTTTTATTTTTTCTCGACACCCTTTTATTGAAATGATTTTAATATTTGTCAGATGTGACCTAATCTGAACCAACATTTTTACGAAAAAATAGAATGTTCACAAACAATTTGATTTCACTCCAAAATATGGCTTGAAAGTTTATTCAGAGATGTTTAATGCGCAATTGTATTCAAATATTTTGAACCAATAACTAAATCCACTGTTGAATACGCATGAGATATTGCCGAATACACCTATTAGCCTTATCAAATAAACTGCTAGAATGAAATTCAGAAATTGATATTGTTTTGATTTTTACATCAAACCATCGATGCCAATGAATATGAAACACTTAAATATTTTTTAATTCCTAGAAATGTTTTACCGAATAACACAAATTATGACATTTCAAAAATAAAAAGTTTTTACCTCAAAGTTTGCTCATAATTTTGCTCATAATTACGAATATGGTATGATTTTTTCCAGAATAGTTATTAAGGGTACACTTGATAGATATGTACACTGGAAAAATCACGAGTTGCTTTTTGGCTGCTTATCAACTTCACTAAAGCTTTTGATTGTGTTATTCTTTTAACAAAACTGAAGAGATACAAAGTAAGAAAGTTTCCACTGGACTGATTCACCTCATATCTTTCACACCGCTCACAGCAAGTTATTATTGAAAAATTCACTTCTGACATGAAAACTGTAATTGCGAGAGCGCCTTTTTTTGTAGTGTTCATATATGATATGTTTAAATCTCTCCAGCATCTTTCATCTCCAATTGCCTCTTACGCTGATGAAACAAACGTTCTTATTGAAAGTGATACTATATGGAAGCTGAAAGATTAGCAAAATCAATTTATGAAAAAATATCTCTATAGGTTGAGCAAAATATTAACGATGGAAAGACCGCGTGTATTATATTTAAAACGTCGCAGTCGCGAGTGGAGAACAGCAATGAAATAGTTCCATCCGATAAAGTTACTTTTGACTCTCTACCCAAGAAATTAAAATGCTTGATTTGGAAATAGATCATCTCCTCGAATGCTCAGACTACATTCATGATGTATGCATCAAATTAACTGAAACGTGTTTTGCCTTAGCAGTCATGTCTAAACACTGTAGATATCCAACATAGTTATAGGCAACTTCAATTTGTATGCAGTTAGATTCCTAGTCGGTCTGGGTTTTTATGATTTATGTGGAGTTCTGTACGAGTACTTATATGTTTTCAATTTCATTTATATTGTTTGGTGTGCTTCTATACTTTTTATATACAGGGTGTAAGATAAGTACGTTAAAATATTCCAGTGACGTATTCCTGAGACAATTTTAAGAAAAAAAGTCTATATAAACTTGTATTCGGAAATGTTTTGTTTTGGAGATACAAGGTGTTGGAATTGATTTTTTTGTTCGTTTTTAAAAAATAACTTTTGCAAAAATTTACACGAAATTTGGCACCCGGGATTTTTTCGACGTGAAAAATCATAATTTCGTATTAATTTTCATGTAATATCTAAAGAGCGCCACTTACGCTGTCAATATTTATTTCAAATTGCCCTAACTTTTTTGACAGATAATAAGATTCGCCAGAATGGATTGATTCAATTTGTCTCACATATTAAATTCAATAATGAAGAGGAACTCTTCAATTTTCTCTAAACTTAGAATCGGATTTGTGGATACAGCTTTATTTTATACATCCTTACAACGTATTTGATAAAAAGTTTTCAGCACTTAACAAACTATAACGATTAAAATAAAGCAGAAACTGACAACTGATGTATTGTAACGTCAACATCCGTTTCAAAACCAACCTCCCGAGAGTTTTGAATCATCATGAATACGTTTCAAATCATAGTTGATTTGACGTCATCGTTTCAACGTCAGAATGAATGTATTTGTATCACAAATGAATACGTTTTGAATACATGAGCGCCAGAAAACGTTTATATTCCTTAAGTACCGTATAAAAGTAAACAATACTTCTATACGATGCCTTAAGCAATAAAGTACAGAGATTGATAGAATACCCAGTGGAATTTCTTAAAAACTGGGTAAGCGTGTACACTTTTTTTATTGCAATTAGACAAATTCTTATATTTTTGAAAACAGGATGATCGAGACACGTATGTAAAGTTTATAAATATGAAATAAACTTATTATTATTGTTATTATTATGAACTACAGAAGTGAGGTTTTTGTGAAATATACATGCCTGTGTGTTTGTAGATTAAACTTCTCACAAAAGCGGGAAAATTTGTTGACCAGTACTCTGCAATTACCATTATTTGAATCATTCTAATCTATTTTTTCATATAGTTCGTTAATAAGGCAGATTCATCTGACATGATAGTTTTGTCATCCAAAAGAGGGTTGTTGTAGCTAAGTGCTCACACCGAACATTTTGTCTTACTGTACAACTTGTAAACCTTGGTTAATTCAAAATTCATCTAATCCGCAATCCCTTTCAATATTTCTCACTGTGGTATTCATTTTACATGTAATCGTAATTGAAACTGATATATTTTATCAGTATTGTTTCATAATTAATAATTCGTATAAGGTTTCAACCATGTTAGGTAAATGGCAAGGATTATAACAGATTATGAAAAAGGAAAACTTGAATTTTCAATCATAATGAGTTTCCCAAGTTTGAATGATATTTTGAATATACTCTAAATCTACAAAATCTTCTAGATCTGATTTTCTTAAAAAAAAATAGCGGTAAAATTTTAATTTCGGTATATTTAGAATATTTTCTAATTTTTTGTACTTTATCATTTCTTTCTAAATATTTATGTTAGTTTACTTGACAAAAGTGGCATAATTTTTCAAGGTCATGTAAAATAATCGTTGTAGGTTGTGTCGGTGATACTACCACAGAACCAAAAGTTTTCGGAATTCATGTATCCCGTATGCCGGTTAAATATATATTATGGTTAAAACATACGGACAACGTTGTAGTTGCCACTTACCAGAAAAAGTAAACAAATACTAAAACTAGTTTTACACAATAAAAAAAAACTAAACAATGATATCGTAAAATGCTGATTCCGTTCCAAAATTTATTTTTTTAATGTGACTTTTCCGACTTCAGTGCCTACAGTTGTAAAACTCGTATATATAATGAATTTGGGGGGCACTATTCATTTGAACAAATCTGGTATTTGTGTTTTATTAGTTATATCGCTGATTTTATTTTTATACTCAATTTCAAATGGAACTAGAGGCAATGAAACTGTTAAACCTAAGAAAATCAATTTGGGCAAGCTTCTCAAAGTAGCAATTAAAACTGCAGAAAGTGGTGGTAAGAAAGTAGCGAGCGCTAAAAATTTGGTTGTAAAAAATAAAGGCCTAACAAAAGAGGGTCTTGCTGATAGAGTAACATCTGCTGATTTAGCATCTCATTGTGCAATGTCTGAAAGTATAAAGTATTTTTTCCCGTCTGTTAGGGTAATATCCGAAGAAGCTGATAATATTTGTGAAGAAGATCCGTCTTTACTTTCTGATTTGAAAAAGTTCTCTCCTCAATCACCGGTAGATGAATTTGTTGAAGAAGGCGATGTTACTGTATGGATTGATCCATTAGATGCTACCTATGAGTTTACTGGTAAGATCACTACCATTTAAAGAGTTTGTGTGTGTTCTGGCGTAGTCCTTCCCAAATGGTATAACAAGCTGAAATGTCATCCCCGGTGTAGTTCCGTTTGTCTTTAAATGATAAAATTGAAAGGATTCTAAAACAACACCTAGAAAACTAATCTATACGGGGAAGCCGTGGAAATAAGGGTGACAGCAGGTGAAAGTTTTCATTGAACAAGTGACTTCAATCTTCAAGAAATCATCTTTGAATTTTTAATTAATCAAATCTTGACCAGTTTTTTTTTGCCAACCCACTTGGAATTTATTTTTCAACATAGAAAATTTTGTTTATAATTCACTTCATTGATTGGCAAGGTTTATTTTTACTATTCCTTAAGAAATTCAGGGCAATGTTTATTTAATATATACTTTATTCTTGCAAATCATAAAAGCTCATTTTCATCATTTACCTATATTACTTTTCATCAAAAAAAAGTTCTTTAGCTTCTGTAGATAGTAGTTTTCTGAGATGTATGTTGTTAACAATTTCACTAAAGATAATTGTAAATTATGCACATTTATTAAATTGTAATAAAAACTTTTGATTTTAGCAAAGATGTATACTTTTGTAACTACAATGGTATGTGTTGCCGTTAAAGGTAAACCTGTTATTGGAGTCATACATAAACCATTTAGCGGGAGCACTTCTTGGGCTTGGGTTGATAAAGCTAAATCGGTTGATTTGAATACTGTGAGTAGACATGGTCATTGATATAGCACTTAATCTATAGATTTTTCTAGGTGTTAGAAAAAAGCAGTTCCAAAAGTTATCTGAATGTTATAATATCCCTGTCTCACAAAGGAGAAATTGAAAAGGTATTGAATAATACTTTCCATGATAAGGTACATATCATCTCTGCTCCTGGTGCAGGTGAAGTAAAGTGAATTGTTGAATAGAATTAATCATTTGATGAAGACCTTTTTCAGGGTATAAAGTTTTGGAGGTAGCTACTGGGAAATGTGATACCTACTTACATATCACTGCAATAAAAAAATGGGACATATGTGCTGGAAATGCCATTATCGACTCCCTTGGAGGTAAAATGACAACTAAATCCGGTCAGATGATCGACTATCTAGGTAACGAAGTGAAGAATGATGATGGAGTGATTGCTTCCATAAGGCATCACGATTTGTTTGTAAATAAACTTTAATTGTTGTTTCATTTTCTCAAGTGTAATAAAGTTACATCAAATATTTGTTTATTATTTTGGGATAGCCTTCAATGTAATATCTTTATTGTTCAAGAAAATACATCTTATTGAAAGTTTGTTAAAAAATCGGTATGTAGAGAACTTCAAAGAATAAAAAAAAAACAATTTGAAAACTCAATTTGAGCAAAACTAGGTTCACATAACAAGTAGATGAAATATAACAATAAAAAATAAATTTCAACCAAGTTTGTCGAAAGAATAGTTGTATAGTCCATTTCAAAAAATGTAAAAAACAACTACATTGTATTTTTTATATTAACTTTCTACTTTATAAGAATTGCATATGAAAGGGTAACACCTAGTTGATCTTAGCTCACAAAAGTTTCTGCTTCCGAGGCTTGAATTTTGCATGGGGTTAATAGCTGGTTGATGAAAAACCTATCGAAGAGCATTTCGAGAAACTGATGATATAGAAATGCAGAATAATAATGGGCTTTATATTATTTGAAATGCATTATTTTTAGTGGGAAAGTTAATGTTCTTAAGTTTCTAACCTTTCACAATCTCGAAAGTTAATAAATGAAGATTAACAGAGAATCTGCTCAAGTGTACTGAAGGGTGAACTGAAAAGTTACTGTGTACCTAATATAAACCTTTGAAGATACTATCCAATCGAGTAACTTGTCCTATTTATGAATTTTCTCTGTAAATATACTTAATGCTTTTTTAATAGGGCTGACGTTTTGGAAAAAAAATTCTTTTTTGTTTTCTTCATCATTTACAAAAAGGAAAAGCAAGAGGCCACTAACCGATCCCTGAGGTACTCCAGGGATCGGTTCGTGTATATTTATCTCAAATTTGTTGCTTCAATTTAATAAGTATACTCCTGTTTGTTAGTTAGAAACTGAGCCACTGTAAAAAGGTACGTTTCATTTTCAAGTAACCAGTTTTTTCAGGATAAAATCAATATGTAAGCAGTCAAAAGCCTTTCTTTCTGGAACCACACTGAGGTTGACTATTATATTGTGTTCACAGCGTTTTAGTAAATTAAAATATCCGTCGATAATTATCAATTAATTATTTGTTTTCTTTCTTGTGAAGTGGGAATACTATTTAAAGAAATTGGTGTTAAAGGTCAACTTCCTACTTGTTGTTTTTTAAAAGATGTTTTTCATTCATAGGTACAGAAGGATAAGGACTGGTTAATAAATTTTATTTCGTCATCTACTAAGAAATTGAGTTGACTTGTGTTGATACTTCTGTTTGTAAAGTGTAGTTATTATAACTGCCTTTGTTTTAACTAAGTATATCATGTTTCATTTTTAAGAGTTCCAATGGGTAATACTTTATGTTTTACTTGAAGAAAGTTGTCACAAAATGTAAATCAAAGGGAGCGTTATTCATACACCACCATTTACTTAAGAGTGTGGTGTATATAAATGCTTCCATTGATATACATCGCGAAAACTACCTTGAAATAAAAGTTTGGTTTATTAATCGGACATTAGCATTGTTAATAAAGAATAATTTAGTTTGTTATTAGCGCCGTTAAGGTTAAGAAAATCACATTCACGGTAAGAGTTTATACTATAGATATAAATCCGAAACAAAAGTGGTCTTGAGACACTTTCCTGCGGGACTCCAAATTCATTAACAAAAGTGGAATATGAAAATCATTTCCTACTCTGTTTACGATCAGTCAATTAGTCTTTAATCCATTTCAATACAGTACGTTGCATACTAATCACTTTCATCATTTCAATTAAATCTGACGATTAATCGTTTCCATAAAGAGAAAATATTGATAGAGTAAATCAGGCTTTAACACACTTATAAGGCTGCATTGCTATTCTAGCCATGAATATGCGCATTTGAAATTGATACTTAAGTTTTAAATTTATAATTTGGATAAAATGATAGATATCTTTGAAGGAAAGTAAAAAATACACGCATCCATGATATATCCAGTTGTGAACTATTCTCCCAGAAATTCGTTACCCATAAGTCTATATTACATCGACATTTTTCATTTCTGAAAGTAGTTTTTACTGTTTGCTATTATTTTATTTTTCAAAAATGACTGGGTTCTATTGTATCCCGGAATTGTATCAATCATATTTGCCGCTGATGGGTGCTGATGGCACATAATAAAACGTATCACAGAACTGAAACTGTAAGTTCTGTGGCTGGTGTTCACTAGTCTCTTGTCAAAACATGACATCCCAAAATATTATATGTTCGCTTTAATGAAAAACTCAGGCGCTTTTTTAAAAATTATGATTCAGGATGAAATATTTCAATGTCGCAGAATTAGAAAAAAATTGTTTTTCATAGATATCAAACCTACAATTTTTTACACCATTTTAAACAATTGTGTCAATGAGAGTTTAGTCCTAGAGGTAGTACTGTATTTTTTCTGGGAATTTCATACTTCAATGACAAAAAAAATTTGCATCTGTCACTGTACCGGCCGTGGAAATAAGGGTGACAGCAGGTGAAAGTTGCAAAACAAATATTCCTCAAGTAGTTTCTTACAGTGCCAAAATTCATGAAATGGATTTTTAGATAAAAAATAATATTTGTTTGAAGGTGATTGATAATGTTCCATGATGAATTTCATCAGTTCGGACTTCCATTGTCTAATATTATATAAAATGATTTGAAATCCCTAAAAAAACAATACAAATGAAAAATTAAAATAGTAGCTGAAAATAACAATTATATTGAGCAAAAAACGCTGAAATGAAATCACAGTGAGATAAAATATAAGTAAAAATTAGAATAATTAATCAAAAAATGAAAGTAAAAAATAGAACAATTAAACAAAAAAAATAAGAGATTCCAAGCCAAGTTACTTCACGACGTTTCGATTGTTAGTATCCACAGTCGTCTTCTGTTGTTGACTGGACTAATTCCTGGGTCATTCGAGTACTTTCACTTATCTCCTCTTTCCGTTTCACCGGTTTAGCGGGAGATGACCGTTTGTCGGAAGTTGGCCATTTTTCGCTTGATTATGGATTTCCATATATTGCGTATCTCTACGCTAGCTCGGCTGAATACATTGTTGGATAGCATATATGCGATTTATTTGAATTTCCTCCTAAACCAGTGTTCCTCCCTGTGTATGATCTCAGCTTGGGATCACTCGATGTTATGTTGATGGGTCCAAACATGCTCTGCTATTCCCGATTTGCTGGTTTCCCTTCAATGTGTGTATTTCTTGCGCTCGGCAATGCGAACTTTCAATGGTCTCTTAGTTTCACCGATATAGGATTTTTCACACTCACAAGGTATCCGGTAAATGAAATGCTTGGAATCGCAGTCCGCGTTTGGTGGCCTGGTTTTCCTGAGGCTGCTACGGATAGTGTTTCCGGATCTGAAGCAAGTTCTAATGTTGTACTTGTATCCAATTCTTCTTATCCTTTCGGATAATTCCCTGATGTAGGAAAGTACAAGCACTTGATTGTGACGGCTTCTCTTCCTTGCGTAAAGAGGATATGAGTGAAAGTACTTGAATGAACCATACACAGTCATCTCTCGGAGAAATTAGTCCAGTCATCACGCGGAGACTATTGTGGATACTGACATTCGAAACGTCGTGAATTAACTTGGTTTGGAATTTCTTAATTTTCATTTTTTGTTTAATTGTTCTATTTTTTACTTCTATTTTTTATTTAATTGTTTTAATTTTTACTTTAAAATGTTTTAATTTAAAAAATAATAGTCAGATTCATGAAAGAGAGGGGATTATAAGTCAGTCACGCGTGTATGAATCATACAAAAAATTTTAGGCATCAAGTCACTTTATGCCCTATGAAATTTGATTTTTTTTATAAAACATTTATGCTTCCCACCTTTGAATCCTTCACTGAGAGTAGCAGACCTTTGGAATTCTCAAGTCGATAAGATTTTATCAAATACATGGTACCTCCGGGCCATTTGAAGTGTGTTGAACAGTATATTTAAATATATGATCGAAAGTGGTTGACAATGTTCAGTGAATTTCATTAGTTCGGACTTCGATTTTCTAAAAATGATTCTACTATGATTTGAAATCTATGAAAGAACAAATGAAATTAGAATGAATAGCTGAAATATCAATTATATTAAGCAATGAAAGCTTTCATAAGTATAAAAATATACAATACTACCCTGCTCAAATGAAGTGGAACATGTCAATATTAAAAAATAAAAGTTAGGTAGTATAAAAAAACAAAGAGTGATGGTCATTCAGCAGTTTATTATTATTATTTTAAGAACAAAACACAAGCACTACGGGAAAATCCTCAAGGCCCTATAAGAGCGGTGTCTTGGTGAAAGTATTGATTCACATTGGATTTGAATCGCTGGAGGTTAAATCCATTTGGAAAAACGTTCTCAGGAAGTTTATTCCACTCGAGCGCAGTTCTCCAAAAGAGAGAGTTCTTAAACAGTGAAGTTCGAGGTGTACTGAGTTGAACCTCAAAACGATGAGCAGTCACAGTCCATCACGTATTTCTGATATGTACCGCTTTTGGTGGAATCAAATGTGCTAAGTCACTTGAACACTTCCCGTGAAAGTATCTATACATATATATA